TCGTGAGCCGAGCGAATACGAAGTTGGCCGAGACCTGCTAGACAGATGTTGCGGCGTGGAAAAACGTTGCTCTACATGTCTAGGCTATGTGTTGTTTGGTCAGTGTCGACACGAAAACATTTTCATTATGAGCACCAACGCTATCATACCCTTCTCACAAATAATAACGAAGACGCAAACATTTTGTACGAGCTTGGCAAACGGTTTGAAGAGTTCGATATACTCTTACGCAGAAGGGGAGAAACGGGAGTCTAAGGCGAAGAAATTTCAATTTTCGTGAGCCGCTGCTTGTGCTCACATGCATACATACATATACATATTTAAGTGAGTAGAGAGCATCGAGAGAGGGAGAAAACAAATTGAGCATAAAGGCATCTTTTGTCCAACATTTGACCATCTCGGTCGAGCGCATGAAGCGAAATGATTATGCTTTCATATATTTTCGTAGCCCGAATCTAAAATTGAGGAGCCGAGCAAATACGAAGTGGTCTGGGATAGATAACGCTCGTAAGAAAGAAACGCTTTACACTACTTGTCCGGTCTATGTGTTCTATGGCTAGTGTCTATATGTTGTTTAGTTGATTAGTTATAATTAAAATTTCATAAAAATACACGTTTTTGGCTCCACTAAAGTTTTCGTACACCGTACTATGCTAGAAATTTACCTACAGACAGAAAACGAATATGATAACGGTTGTTTTCCAATGTATGTATTTGCATACTCGGGTATAATTTCGCTACATTTTGCAACAAATTTTCTTTAAATTGAATCGCTAAGTTGCCAATTTTAATTTTAAAATGCCGGGCAAATATTTAACTATAGAAGAATGCAAACTTATTCTAAATAAGCACGTTAAGCAACAGGAATCATATTCGGAAATTGCGAATATATTTTCTCAACGATTCAATCCGATCCAATCCGTCATAGATGATTTAAATACGAAGGGCGAGTGGAAAACAAGCCAAAATCCGTTATAAAGATATGTATGTATATGTAAGTAAATCAATGATTATTAACACATCAAATTATTATTTAGGAAGTCAAATATTTTATTATGTTATAATCTCGCATGGATTGACACCTTTGCTCATAATTAAAAAGGGCTGATTCCAATCTGCTGAATTCGACATTCAATAAACTATTACTCTTTTTTAATTGGACTATAAATGCATCGACTGGCAATTTTGGATTTAAGACTGAAAAAAATAGGGCGAACATGTTAGGTGATTAGATGTTATGTTTGAATACATATTTATGTAGCTTGATTTACTTTTGGGCTGAAGTTTGCACTCAATTGTTGGTGGCCTATTTGAGGGAAGACGTCGTACTTTACTTCCATTTTCCACAAATTGAGCAATTACACTTCGGAATCTTTCAGGTATTAAGAAAAGTCTATCCACATTTCCTTTTTTGTAACAAAGGTATGCTGACTTCATCTGAAACCATTTCCGACGAACTTGAGTTGGTGATTTGTTTGGAAATCCACGCCTTTTCATCTTACTCGCAATTTGAGTAAAAGTGTTGTGCGTCGTCGTAATATGTGAAGATCCTTGACTTATTTTTACTTCCTTTATTAAATTAAGCATGCATTCAATTTCGGCAGTTAACCAAAAATTCCTTTTTAATTTTCCAGCCTTCATTTCCACATACATATGTATGTAAACAATCTTTACTTAGAAAAATGAATCAAATTGCTCATTCACATACATATGTAAAAATATTATACATTCCATACATAAAATACTTTATATTTAACTAAATTTTCAGATATGTAAGTCGTGACATTAACTCAAATAGTAAATATCGATAATTTCACTAAGCATACAACCACCACTATGTTAGGGGTGCCAGATTTTGAACGAACAAATATGCCAAATTTCTAAAATGTATAAGCACTTACACTGATCAGCGAACACATAGACTTGACATGTAGTACAAAGTTTTTCAACACCGAAAAATCTGTCTCCTAGGGCCTATGAATTTCGTATTTGCTCGGCTCTTCACTTTTAGGTTCGGGCTACGAAAATACATATACGGAAGCACTACCATTTCGCTTCAAGCCCTCGGATGAGATGGTCAAATGTTGAATAAAATATGCCTCTATGATCAATTTATGTTCTTGCTCTCTCTGCTCTCTGCTCTGTCAAATATGTATATGTACATATGTAGCAGCAGCTCAGGAAAATTAAAATTTCTTCGCATTAGACTGATGTTTCGTCCCTTCTGTGTGAAGAGTATACCGAACTCTTCAAACCGTTTACCAAGCTCGTACTTTGCGTATTTGCGTTTTCATTATTTGTGGAAAGGTTATGGTGCGCATAAAGAAAATGTTTTCGCGATGAGCATGCACACACACTCTTCCTTGCTATATGTACTATGAGCATTTTTATGCCTGTGTGCGAAGCTCTTGCTGCCTGTGGAAATTTTACAGTCCAGCATTTGCATTTGTTGATCTTGTGAAGTGCTCATATACATACATATGTATGTATGTATGTATATACATGGTGGTCCATTTGGCTAGTATATGTATGTATGTATGTAAGTAAGTACTAGAGGCCTGCACGAATACATTTGAATACTCGGTATTCGCCTGATTTTTTCTCAGCAACGGTGCTCAACGCGCGAGAAAAGTACCGTATAATTTTTTTTGACGCTACTCGCTTTTTCTTTCGTTTCGTTTTTCTGGGTTTTTGTTTTACTTAGCTAAAAGCGTATGAAGTAAAGTAAAACAGAATACTTGGCGACTTCGAGTACCATTCGTTTCGTTTTGCAGCAATGCTTGCGATGCTCAAACACTTGCAAATATCAGTATATTTGGAAGACGACCAGCGTGCGAGTATACCCATTCAGGCCTCTAGTACATATGTATGTAAATATGTACATATGCCTCTTATTAAAAAAGTAAATTTTATCTGTGTATGCGCAGGTGCAAGGGATCGAAGATCGCAGTCCAATTTTCCCACTAGGATTAATCAGGTACTACATTTTAACAAAAATCATTCTGATAGGCAAACCCACGATCATTGAAATAAAATCAGCTACTTAAATATAAACGCGATTCTGCACACGCCAATGTTCATCTCCCCTGCATACAATCACTAACCAGAGA